TTGGCCCGGGGGCGGCGGCCAGTCCGGCTGCAAGATGCGCATGGGGTAGGTGGGGGAGGGGCTGGGGATGAGGAGGCTGAAGGGAGGGTCATCGATGAGGAGATTGTGGGGTAGAGCGGGCTCGTTGCGGGGAGTTGGTCGTTTGGGGAGGACCTGGTCCTTGGGAGGGGGAGCTGGTCTTTGGGAGGGTTTCTCGTTGAGGGTGTTGGGTGAGTGTCCTTTTTGGAGGGATTTTGGGAGGTAGGCGCTGGGGGGATGCTCTTTGAGGGGGGCTGCTCCCTGGGATTTGGAGGTTGCTTGTTGGAGGTTTTTGGAGAGGGATTCTCATTGGGGAGATTGGGGGTGGGTTTTTCCCCCCCAAATACTGGAAGATTTGGGGGTTGGGGGAGCTCCTTGCTGTGCTTTTTTGGTGGTGGGAAGGAGTGAATTTTGCTGTGAGGAGACAGCACTTCAGGGTTTGGGGTGCCATGTGTCGAGTGGGTTGAGTTTGGGGGCTCTCTGCACTGGGGCTGTGCTCGGAGGGGCTTTTAAGTGTTTGTTGCTGGGGGCTTGGGGTGGGGGGCTGCTCATTGCTGGGGCATGTGAGCCTGGGGCTGCCCCTTGCTTGGGAAAGAGGAAACCTGTTGCTGTAGGAGGGATTCTTGTGCCATTGAGGAGAAGGGAAGGGAAGTGCATGGAAGGTGCTGGGATGGGCTGTGGCCTCCTGATGGGAAACGTGGTGTTTGGAGTTGGAGCAGGACTGGGTGTTCTCTGGGCCACCTTATTTTTGAAGCTCTGGGAGGGCTTTGCACCAACTCTAGCTTTCCCCTATTCATCATATACGTGTTCCTGAGACTCATCGGATAGGTGATGACATTACATTATGAAACTTTCTCCATATCTTCCTCTTGAGAGCAGAGCTTGATAACGAAGAACATCTTTGGTCACCCTATTTCCCTTTTAGCAGCCCTTTTTTCCAAGTTCTTTTGCCACGTGTGCCTGAAGGAAAGAAGATGGTTTTTCATTTGGGATGATCCAACACGAATAAGCAGAAATCAAGTCTTTTTAAGCTGGAATGGGACCATCTTTGGAAAGCTGTGAGAGAAGGAGGTTGGCTAAAAGGTTTGCAGATAATTTCAGCAGTGTTTGGGGGGGAAGTAAAGAGGACTTGGACAAGAACCACCTTGGCAAAAGCTTTCCTAAAGAAAATGGGAGAAAATCCCATCCTCTGTCTTTGGTAGCCGGTGTCTGCCAGCTCCAGGTGTGCTTTGCACTACTCCTGACAATATGAAATGCTGTATTTGGAAGATAAAAATATCCTACAATTCCTACAGGAAATCTCCTTTGCCCTGATGCATGAAGTCAGATAACTAAGAGAAATACTGAAAAAGACAGCTACTCCATTGTGCTTGAAATAAAATATTTAGATATTTGCAGATATCTCTGTGCCATCTTAATGACAGCTTTTTCTCCTCTCCTTTAAAAATTTCTTTTGCGTTAAACACTTTTAAACTGTTTGGATAGATGCAATGTAATTGATATAGTTAGCATGTATACTAGTGCTATCAGATCTTCATCAAAGCCTTTTTAATGACAGTTCACTCAAACTAAGCTTCATTTACATGTTTAATGGCATGGCTTTAAGCCTAAGCAAAAAATCCCATATTTAAGGATTTGATTTGTGCTGTGGATTTAATTTGTGCCATTAGAACAAGTGTAGAAACGAGAAAGGAGCAATTTTGAATTACTTCTGGAGATTTTTTTCTCTGTCCAGGAAAGCTGGGCTCCGTTTCCTGAGCTTATACTGAACCTTGGGCTTGTAAGCAAATCACTAACCCATGAGCTTTCCTGCACAGTTGTTTTCTTTGTGTAAGATTCAATGTATTTTACACTGTTTTTGTACGCTAAATTCAGGCAAACTCTATCTAATTCTACCCATAAAGCAGCGCCTACACCTATGGCATTATAAATCAATATCATGTCCTGTTGTTTCCTTGGCTACAGATGTTGCCACAATTTCATAACAAATTTAAAAACTTACAACGTTGGTGTTAAGGTGGCCTTAAAGAGGATGGAAATCAGTTTGCAGCTTGCCTCACTGCTGGTGTCAGCTTCTCTTAGGTGTTTCCTGAGGCAGGTGTCTCTACGGTGGTGAGGACTGAAATATCAAAAGAGTGTTTCCTGCAGCATCAGCTGATCTACTGCAAAAATCTCCAAATCAGTAAGCTAAAGGAGCTGCTGCTGTTATTTTTTTTTCCCCTTAGGCTTCTAATTCTCTTTTTTTTTGCAAAATGTTGCTGCGCTGTGGGTGCCTTCTCTGTATCAGTGTAGCAGTTTGTGAATATCCATTCTTTTGATAACTTTTATTAGTAAATTAGACTAGAAACTAGTGAGCGCTAGGTTAATGAGGTGCTGACAAAGCCCCTGTGATGCTGCTTCCTTCACTACTTCATCACAGATGATCAATTAAATTTACTGTAAAGTACCTTTTAATTGATAGGAAACGTGATGTTATGGTTAAGGACCAGGAATTCCAGTGTCCCTTCCCTTAGGAGGTGGTAATCGTGCTGTAGTTGCACGGTGCAGTTGTATTTTTCTTTAATTTCCTGCAACAACGTCAAGTTAACTCCCTTTATTGAGGATGTTCCTGCTGTTTTAGGTACTGTATGTCCAACTCGAGCAGCCTCTTCCCAAGAGATTTGAGAGTAAAATTGTTTCCTAGATTTCTCGATGTCGGTCTTCCAGCCCTTGCTTATGAGCTTTGTTAGTCCATAGACTAAATTCTTTTTCCTTGAACCTTTTTCCCTCCGAAG